CCTCAGATATTCCATTTGTAAATTAAAAATGTTTTTATTATACAAACAAATTATTGACAAGACCTAAATAGTTTGATTTTTATTTAAATTAAAATGAAAAAAATATTAATTATAATTATGTGTGGCAAAAAGGCAACAGTGAGGTTAAAGAAAATTGAATGATAAATATTTCAGAGATCATATCTTGTGGTGAATTTAAACATTGCAATTACTGGAGCAGGTTAAAATAAAAAGAGAAATATATAGAGTGGGGGAGAGTAAGAGCACTAATAGAAATGGAGTGATATGAAAGAAGGAGGAAAAGGGAGCGATACAAAGTCAGGAGGAAAAGGGAGAGATACAAAGTCAGGAGGAAAAGGGAGAGATACAAAGTCAGGAGGAAAAGGGAGAGATACAAAGTCAGGAGGAAAAGGGAGAGATACAAAGTCAGGAGGAAAAGGGAGAGATACAAAGTCAGGAGGAAAAGGGAGAGATACAAAGTCAGGAGGAAAAGGGAGAGATACAAAGTCAGGAGGAAAAGGAGAGATACAAAGTCAGGAGGAAAAAGGAGAGATACAAAGTCAGGAGGAGAAGGAGAGATACAAAGTCAGGAGGAGAAGGGAGAGATACAAAGTCAGGAGGAAAAGAAAGAGATACAAAGTCAGGAGGAAAAGGGAGAGATACAAAATCAGGAGGAAAAGGGAGAGATACAAAGTCAGGAGGAAAAGGGAGCGATACAAAGTCAGGAGGAAAAGGGAGAGAGAGAAGTGAAGTAAAGAGAAAATGAGTAGGAAAGAGAGAGGATGAAATGTAAAGTAAAGGTAAAAAAAAGGATGGAGAAAAGTAAAAGCAAAGAAAGAAAAAGTCCATTAGAAAAAGAAAAATAAAAAAAATATGAATACTGAGAAGAGAGTAAGACAGACATGTAGAAAAGAAAAAAGTGAAAAGAAGTTACAGAAGCAGAATATACAGAAAATGATACATATATAATCAATCTTGAGTGAGAGGAAGAAAACTACAGATGAGAAAGGAGAGACACACTGCAGAAAAATGACTAACATAAGATATAAAACTATTGTAGCTAATATATCTACTTTGTGAATTACAAATTGTCCTCTATTTACATTGTTCGGTCTATTGTCCTCATCTTTGTGTCTATATTTATCAAAACATTTCGGCTGTTGTACAATCCCACCATCCATACAACGTAAAGAAAGGTATCGTCCGTTGCTTACAACACTGAGCAAAAGTCATAAGTGGCAACCCAGAGACATTAGATAAAGAATTGGTCAGTATAAGCAGTATCCTACAACGTAACAAATACCCTGGATACATGGCAGCATCCCCAATAAACTTGGATAGGCAGGTACAAGAGCAGGACAACAGCACTCAGAAAACAGTCTGCCTGCCTTATGTGAAGGGGTTATCAGAGAAAATACAAAGGATCTGCAGTCCATATAACATCAGGACAATCTTCAAAAAGCTGGATGACACTTCGCAGATACCTCTCCCAAGTAAGACACCCCCCCCCCGCCATAGAGGAGAACATGACTAAAGACTGTGTGTACGCCATCCCACGCAGCTGCAGAAAGAAATATAAAGGGGAGACAGGCCGCCCCCTTAAGGTAAGGCTTCAAGAACACCAGAAAGCAGTAACATGAGGGGGAAGTGGAAAAATCAAGTGTGGCTGACCACATATGGAGAGAGAAGGGAGATCACCGCCCTCTGTTGGATTAGGTTGAGATCATAGACAAAAAAAATCATTGGAAAATTTGTAAACTTAAAAATCAGTACATATGCTAGGCCACAAAATCTTCTGAGTAGATCAAGCATAGAAATGAATACAATATGGGAACTAGTAATAAGGAGTACCAGAGAAAAGCAATAACAACAACAAAAATTGCAATATGAGCTCTGGTAAAAAAAACATGTAATGATAACAACAAAAGTTGCAATATAAGCACTGGTAAAAATGTTTGCTGAAGACATTAGGTTTATAAGTCCCAGAAATTCATAGACAGATGTCCACAAAGACACATGGCACAGTGGATAAAGGCATTAGTTAGATCCAGTGACAGGACCCAAAGAGTGCGAGTTCAATACCTGGTTAAAGCAGTGGAGAACTTGGAGAGGGGAATTAACAGGAGATAACTGACATCCATTAGATCCTACCCCAGCAAGCAAAATAAAGGGTTCAGTTCAACATTCCAACCACCTGAAGAAGGCTGGAGCATACGGCTGAAACATTGTGATAAATATGGCAACAAAGATGAGAGAGAGAGTCCGAACAATGTAAATAGTGTACATAATACCTCATCTCAGAGATATAGACACCTTTCTTGTCAGATGATATGTTATAGTTTGTTGTAGATGTTTAAATATTGCTTTGATGTTAACGAAGTTCATCATTTGAAAGAAGTATATTTTTTGATTATGAATTGCAAATGGCTGCTGAAATGAAAACAATACATCTTCTGTCAAACTAAGGCTGGTACTCTTAATGAATTACAGCTTTCAAATTTGGCTTGCATATAAATAAATAACTGCCTTCATTTAGTAATGTTAACAAAATTCTTCATTTGACAAAAGCGCATTCTTTGCTTAAAATTACCAATGGCTAGTTTGAAAACAATATCTTCTGTCAGACTAAGGCATGAATTGCAGCTATCAAATATGGCTTCTGTATAAATAAATAACTGTCTTCACGTGTCATCTTACCTGTCTTTCGAAGATCCAAAACACAATGTCATATGCAGTCATACAATATCTTCTTTTGGTGGCCCAAAAAACCTTGCTATATAGTGTGTTTCTATTAAATAATTGTCCAAGAGATTATTTGTTTGTTTGTTTAAAACTTAACGACCCATCGATCAGCAAGAGATCATTTAAGGTCAAACAGTGTCCAAGAGATTAACCAAATTATATATTTGTTTGGTCTAATATTTGGGATAGTTTCACAAAGATTGTATGCCCCAATGTCCTGCTAAAGACATAAGCAGTAGTATTTGTTTGTTCTTTTTTGTTTTTGTTTTCTGTGTGTGTGTGTGTGTTTGTGTGTGTCAGCTCTGAAGTATGATTGACTGATTTGTTTTGTACAGTTTATCAACCCTTTTGTAGGTTATTTAAAGCCAGAAAATATTTTGAGTGTAAGAATTTTTTTTTGTTTGAGATAATAAGGATTTAATGATACAATTCTTAATAATTAACTCATAACTAGGAAGAGATACATTCATGCCTTTCCCAAAAGGTATTTGCACATATGTGAATATAACAAACTCAACTGAAATTGGAACTCGGTTCTTTCAGTTAACAATTCCAAGCCATTATACATTACATCATCTTCACATCTAAGCTCATAGCACCTGGTATTTCCAAGTAGTTACTCATCTAGGTACTGACTAGGCATGGCCTTCATCAGTCTTTCAAACATTATTTATATTGTCAATTTTTTGGATTGTAACATTACTTGCAGTAGTTTTTACTGCATCACAGTGATCATCGTTGCTTAATGTTGGCTTGATGTTGCTTAACTTCAGTGATATGGTCGCAAGACCCCTGAAGTTTAAGGATGGTATATCATGAAAACACTTTGTTATGCAAAAACCTAAACTGTGGATCACCCCTGAGACAAAAAAAGGCTTTGGACATGTAAAATATTCCCAAAAAGAAAATGGCAGCTTTACTATAAAAATTAAAACAGATAGTTCTCAGAGTCAGATAGACATTCGTGACATCTCTTAACATATGCAAATTTTAACTGTCACTCAATCTATAAAAAAATGTATAAAGAGGTGACAGAGAAGTGCAATTGCAGTAGCAAACAGCAGACACATGTTGTTGGATTGTTTGACTTAAGTTCATACACCTACTCTGTTAGTAAAAGGAAATCAATTCCGGAAATTTATTACAAGCCAGAAGAAACTGACAATGACAAAATTTGAAAACTGTCATCATGTAAATTAAAATGAGTTTGAATAAATTCCCTATTTTCTGATTGGACAATCTAGTTTCTAGTTTTGCTTGTTTGCTTTACCATCATATCAACCCTTGTGGGTCATTTAATGCTGAAAATTGGATTTTTATTCAATAATACTTCAGGAAGTTTTAAGTTTTATAATTCATGAAGTATAGTTGAAAACTGGTTGTAGAGTTCATCTATAGGCGAAGTTGTCCAAATTAAAGTTTGGTGTATAATTTAGTTTTCCTCAAATAGGTCAAAATGGTTTTTACATTTTTGAAAAGTTCCTTAAGGCTATTCACCTTATAACGGCATTTACAGATAGAGGCAAATTCAGCACAGTCCACCATAAAAGGTTTTACTGTGTAGGTCTCCTGGTATACAATGCATTTAGGTGGATCCTCATTTTTTAAAAAGAATGAATGTGTAAAGTTAGTATGACCAATTCTGATTCTTGCTAAGACTAATTCTTCACTTCAGGGAAAAACTAGTGTTATGGTGTCTTGTTCGAAGCATAGATTCGATTTTGTATAATTTGTCATTTGGTTGCGTATTCCATAACTCTTGCCACTTATTTAAGATATATGTATCAATAGCTGTTTTGACTTATGCGAAAATTGATACTGCCAAGCAGATACAAAAAGAGAGAGTGAAGAAATTAATGAATTGAAAGAGAAGTACATGCATAGATTGATGAATGAAAGCCAGATAAGCAAATAATTAACAGAATCATATTCTCAGAAATAAAGTCATTCAATCATTACATAGAGAAATTAATACTTTCATTAGTTTAATACAAATAGATAAATAGGCAGGCATATATTTTTAGATAGGTTGGCAAAAAGAATATTATAAAACTATTGTTAATAATTTTTGTTATTTATATAGCAATCTATCCAACTAAAATTAGATTTTAAGCTAAATTAGTATAGGTTAAGTCTAGTAGATTTTTAAGCATTAAAATTAATAACTAGGTATAATTTTAGAAAGACATAGAAACTTTATATAAAGAGAAAGATAGAGGAAGGTAGATAGATAAATAGATAGATATCGTTATTCCCACCTGAGACACCACCACTGTTATTCCGGCGTCTCATCACTACCCGATTGAAATGTGTGTCACCTTGATCTAACATACATCCATCAATCTCTGATATGCTTCTCTGGAATATTGAGGTCTTCTGATCCTGTTCAGCTTCTGGGCTGGTCCCTGCACTTTTCGGCAAAGGCTTTGTGTCATGAGCATGTCTTAATGGATCCTGGTTGATGAAAAAGAAACAAATTTGATAGAACATAAATTACAAGGAAATCTTGAATAAAATCTCAAGTTAAAAGCAAATAGGTCGTCATAAATTTAACCAACCACTTATTAACACATTCAATGTTCGACACACGACATTAATTACATAATGCCCCTCCCCCGCTTTAAGTAATTCACATCATTTTGTCCTCTGCACACTAATGAGACTAATACTTGCTTTTCCGTGATGATATTTATTTTCTGAAGGGATCTATATTTAATTAGTTTCAGTAAGTTTACACCTTATCAGGGTCAAAGGTTAAACATAGCAGCAAAAGGGTTCTTTTCAATAGAAACACACTGTGAGACAACTATATATTGGGTTTCTGCTGATAATAAAGGTACCAGGATACCATTAGAAGAAATTCAGATCCAGGGATTTCTCACTCCTTAGAGCAATCCCTCTCTGATTGACAATATCTTCAGGGGTGTAACCATACTCCCACACTTTGCCAATTGCGGTTTGGTGAGGCTATTTAACCCATACTTGAATTTTGAATTCAGAGTTGTCCTTCTCCTAGATCGGTTGCTACCCAAGTCTGTCCTGCTATTTACCCATAACCGAGGGGAAAATAGATGGGTTCATACCTTTCTCAAGGTCATATAAGTGAACTTGAGTGAAATTCAAACTTGACTCTCCGATTCCTCAATCTGAGCCACTATTCATTACTCCACTGCTAATAACAGACACATTTTGATAAAAGATACAAGATTACTTTTGAAACAAAACAAGATTTATTATTGTTTAGAAAACATTCTATATTAAATATTTAAAACAATTAATTTTAGTTTAAAGCAACAATAAATTATTTGTGAAATCAATTTGTACAAGAGATAATATAATGGAGAATAATAATAATAAATGTTCATATTTACAAATTTAAATAGTACCAAAGAGAAGGGAGAAGTATTTCATATTGTATCAGAATGGGTGTCGAAATTTGGAGTGAAAACTAATGTGACATGTGTAGAAATTGAAAAAATATCTCTCAAAAGATGAGATTAAATTTTCTGATTACTTATAGGTCACCATAGAGTCTAGGTGAAGATTTCCACTTTTAGAAAGAAAATGATTTCATTGGTTGAAAACATTTTTTCTTTTCTTTTCTTTTTTCAGACCAAACTATGGATCAAGCCACTTGTATAAATACATTTCCAGTTAACTATATTAAATCATTTCCTTTCTATAAAATTAAATTTAAAATTAAAGCTGCTTCTTCAAATTTAATAAAATAAGCACAGTTTCTTGTTTAAGATTTACTAAGCTCATCATTTTACTGCACAAGTTTACAATTGCATGGTGCCCAGTATGCATCAAAAACAATGGCCTTCGAGATCAAATTGGGAATTGAGCTAAAAACAGTACTAGGCCATATATATATATATATATATATATATATATATATATATATATATATATATATATATATATCGCACACAGTGGAGATCAAACTCAATACAGTAGTCATGGTTTTCAAGGTGTGTGTATTAAACATTTCTAAAAACAAATTTTAAACAATGATATAAAATATGTGAAAAAATTTAAATTCAAATAATAAAATATTTTGTATAAGAGTTTGCTTAAAAGTATATATTAATATCTACAAATTTAAATGATAAAAAAGTTGTGGGTGGGAAGCATTTCACATAGTATTAGAATGGGTGTTGAAATTTAGAGTGAAAACTGATGTGACCTGTTTGGCAGTTGAAAAAAATTCTTTTGATGGACAAAATGAAAATTTTCTGCTTACTTATAGGTCATCAGAGGTATTCATAGTTGGGTTAGGAATAACATAGAACAGAAAATCATCATCCTCTACCAAATGTTCCAAACAAATAAGACTTAAGATAAACCTTTCCAAAATAGAAACTATGATCTTGAATTAGAATGAAAGCAGCCATGATACTGCAGCATATGAATCAACTATGACAAATTTAATATAGGAGAAAAGAAAATTGAACATAGAATAGGCTATTGCAGAGGTAGTTTCACCTAACACCTCAAATTGTTACAAAATGAAAACATCAACCTGAAAACTTGTTATGTTCTTAATTTGACTCATTAGATTGAAGCTTTCATATGGATGTCATGCATGATGCCAAATGCATTTAGAAATATCTAAAATGTCAGCTGTATGCAACCATTGTCTCAGATAAATGGTTGAAAATAGCTTTGAGAAAGTGAAGCCAGATGCTCTTGGCATTGAGGACTGGTGCTACAGGATCCCAAACAAAGAACTGTAACAAATAATAGAAACGGCATCACATGAGGGCTAACAACAGCAGCAACAACTAAAATGGATAGCACATGTAACTTGAAGAAAAAATAATGACATAATTAAGATGCTGACATTCCACACGACTTCAAATAAAAGGTTAGCAAGGAAACCCCCATCAATACTGGAAAGAGCAATAACAGCTACTGTACTTGAAAAGTTTGTCTTTCTGAAAAATTGTTTTAATAGAAAGATTTTATAAATTTCAACTGAAACAGTACTGGCTGCTCAGTCAATGAATACCAAATATTTCCTTATAGGGAAATGGCTAATATTACCATTTATATGGGCACGAGACAATTTTTTTTACTTTCAGGCAAGAAATTTTTTATTGGCTAAAATCCTTTATTTTTCAGGATAAAACTATGCATCATGCCACTTGTGCAAACAAGGTTTTGTTTATTTGTATTTTATCTATGGAATTGTAACTTTCTCCATTTCTGCATCCAATTCACTATAAATCCATATTTGTTCTATTTTTGATTTACATAACTTTAGTGAAAATAGAAAAAGAAGGTACTGACGGTGTTAATACACAGAAAAAATACCTTTACACAAACGAACATAAAGTAAAGTTTAAAAATAAGCACTATTCACCAGATATATAAAAAATTATATTCACAAACCAACATTAGAAAAAATTTAAGTCAGAAACAAAACAAAACAAACAAAAAAATGTTAATATATAAAATTTCTGATAACTGACCTGTGGGCTTGGAGGTGATATATGAGAAGGAGGTCTGAGCTCTTGCCCCAGTGAACCGGATCTTGCGAGAGGACTGTGTCGAGGTTCTGTGGGAAGGCGAGGTCGGTAACGTTGTTGCTTCTGGGCCAAGCTGAGTGAACCAGATCGCACAAAGACTCGTTCCTCAGTATCAATAAATATGTCCTCAGCAAATGCAGAGTCTGACGCCTGTGCCCCCTGCTGTATCAAGTACTGGAATGGCGCCGTAGGGAACGGATTCAGGTCCGTACTGATATCCTCACTTACGCTGGGCAGAAACATGTCAAGACGGTTGACACCACTCGGTGTCCGCTTGCGGCTATGCGAAGGGATATTAAGGCCAGCAGCACTGGCCAAGTCCAAGAGAAACATTGCATTGTTCTTCAGAATTATATGCGATTCCATAGGAAGCAAGTGAGACTGATGTTTAGATGACAGAACTTTCTTCTTGTACTTTTTTGATTTCTCTTTCTCCTTCTGGGCCTGCCTGCGCTCACGTAAGTACTTGTCTCTGCAACGATCGCAGATGAGATACCAGCTGCTACCCCCAACGCCCCCCTCACCACAGTTACCTGCCCAGCCACCACAGAAGTTACCCCCACTATTGTAGCCCTTCCCCCCAGCATGACGCCCGCATCCAGGGTGCGTCCGACGCATGTGGTACGTGACTGGGTGCGGATACATGGCCCCACACAGCTCACACATGGTCTCTCGTTCAGCACCTGCAGCACCTGCAAATAGAACCCCGGCAGCTTCCCCAAACAAGTTGCCTCGTCCGATGGGTTTCAGATCCCTCTTCTTTTTAGGTCGTTTCTCCTTGCTCTTTTCTTTCTCCTTCTTCTCAGTTTTTTTTGATTTCAGGCTCAGTGCAGGGCTTGGAAAAATGATATCTTTTGATATGACATTGAGCACTGATACTGCGAGTTCTTCCCAAAAGCCAACCAAATGGTAAAGGGTGGCTGGCAACTTAGGCTCTTCCTTCTCGCATGGTGTGCTCTCCAAGTGTATAATCAATGGATCCTCTTGATAATTGACACTACCCTCAGATTTGTGCCGACCAAGGATTGGCTTCAGTTTTGACTGATCGAGCTTTGATACATCAGTCTTAGCAATCTCCAGTTTTGGCGGCGGGGATACTTCAGCTTTGCTTGTATCCGATTCTGAATCCCTGCTATCTTGGTGCTCCAGGAAGAACCGTACCCGGGTTTCATTCAGGTTATCGCCTTTCAGCTTCGTCGATCCATCCTTTTTACTATCCTTTGCAGAATCGGTTGGATGGCGGACCCGCATTTTTTCAACCTTCTTATCATCAACTTGCGACATTTCCTTCGAGAGGTTTGGATGGAATTTGAGAAAGGAGGCACAGGCCATAGCATCGTGGACAATTCCTTCGTGCCAAAGAAAAGCAGCATAGACAGCCCTGAGACACTCGGCCACCGATGGAGATAATGCTTCCTTTACTGCCTCACGAGGTCTTTCTAAAAGAGTGGTAGCTGAACCTGACCGACTCCGTCCAATTGGCGTTGTGTCACGAGGAGATGGAGATGCAGCCCTTTCTCTCTTGTTTCTCAACTGACGGCCACGGTCCTTTCGAATTGCTTTTGGTGATAGCCTGGAGAAAAGGTTAAATGTATTTTAAGCAGAAACAAAAATTACTTTTATACATGAAATGATCAAAGTGTGTGCTTGCATATCATTAATAGAGTCGGGGAATTTTCCAAAGACTTCATAAAACTTCACATCATATCACATCACCAACTACCATTTAACAAGACTGTCTAAACAGGGGAGGTAATCCCAGAAGACTGGAATGACAATCTATACACTGTCTACAGCTGAAGCATTCCAGGAACCAAATCCAAGGGAAAACAGCTTGTAATGAGACAGAGTTTTGTCAGATTTTCAGAAAGTACGAGGGGGATAAACTCTTCATCACCACCTCCCATTTTGTATATCCAGTTTCATTGATTTATATTGAAAGAAAAACAACATTTCTAAAAATGTAATTGCATGTTTAGGCTTCATTTTTAAGATATTCTCAAACAATATTTGTTGTGTGTGTGTGTGTATGCACATTTCATTGAAAACGACAGACAAGGTACTTTTATTTAGTTTTTTTTATACAATTTCTCATGCGATCTAATAATTTTTTTTCTTTTTGGATGATAAATTATATAAAAACTGTCCGAATGTTCTTTTTATCCATGCACTTTCGGCTATACATTTAGCCATTTTCAAGGATTATATTTTAACTGTTAAAATAAGAATTAGTTTGTTGTATGTATATTTTATGAAATGTTTTTAGGGCTGGGCACTTCTCAGCATAATTTTTCTCAGTTGTGACTCTGTCCTTTGACGAAGCTGCCCCTGAAGACACTCTGCCCAGAGACAAAGAAGCAACTGAGAGATGATAAATAGTGTGTTACAAACTACTCAAGAGAGTAATTTATACACTTTTATATTTACATACACTCTATCCCTGATATTGAGTGCTTTCATCCATAAATATAGCATACCTTAAAACTATATTTTTTAGTGTGTGTATATATATATATATATATATATATATATATATATATATATATACACACAATTATTTATTCAAAAATTATAACATAAATATGTTATAAAATCACTATAAAAATAGCCATTTTGTTTCAACACTTTGGTGTCTTATCAAGTGATTGTGTTGAATGTAGTCAACATCATCACTTGATAAGACACCAGAAGTGTTGAAACAAAATGGCTATTTTTGTAGTGATTTTATAACATATTTATGTCATAATTTTTTAATAAATAATTATATTTGCTCTACTCTGTATTGAGCACTCTTTTAAGAATAGTATTTGTTGGTTATTGGAATTTATTCCATATACACCAATTCTATACTTGTGTGTGTGTGTGTGTGTGTGTGTGTATATATATATATATATATATATATATAAGACTGGAAGTTGGAAGATTTTATCGGATGATTAGAAAAATAGAACAATAAATTGAAGATTTTCACCTGAGTTTTTTTGCAATGTAGGTAATCTAATCTGTAATTATTTTTTCATTGCAATGTAAATTTTGATTCTTGAAAGTCAGATTGATTTCATTAAATATTTCTAATTTTATCAATAATTTGCTCTAAAAAATATGCATTATCAAAACCAGAAATAACTGAATGTAACATTTATGAAAGATTTTTTTTAATGTACTATTAATAAAAACAAATCATGTCTTTTTTATTTCGGCTTCATGATTCAACCATATCAAGGTTCCAAGATTGGCAACATGCATATACTAAACGACAATTTTTACACAATTCATACATAATTATAACAAAAAAAAATAAATCTGGTTTGTCGATCCAAAAATGTTCATGCAAACTCTGCAGAATCCATGAAGACAATCATGTTTTAATGTCCAACTGGTCAATAATTCAACCAGAGTTCTTCTTCGACCTTATCTGAATCACAAAATCTAAAACCATTCTCTCACCTGATTGTCTCATCCTTTGGTGAGGCCGAGCCAATGTTAAAGGCCGGCTTGATGGCACTTTCAGCTGCTACAACAGCCACTTCTGCCGCCGCCGCTGCTGCTGCTATGGCAACAGACATTCCACCTGGTTGGGGCGATGCTGAACCTGAGGTAGAGGGACTAATGCCCAAGCTACTGCCGCCAGGTTTTTGCTGTTGTTGAACAGGGCTTGACCTCGGACTACTGCTGTGGCCCCTACTATGACACAGAAACACAAAGACATGATTTAAAAGGAGCACAGCGCCAACATTTGCAGAGGTCTGACTTGCGAATCATGGCACAAATTCCCAAAAATACATGGTGCCAAGCAAAGGGTAAGCAGCAGGAATTGGGTGAGGGGAGGAAGGAAGTGAGTTTCATTTTTTTCTTGTTCTACTCAAAAAAAAAAAAAAAAAAAAAAAATATATCTACAGGTACAACAATGATTTTCCCAGCATCATGGTTCTGATACCTTTCCAGGTAGACAGTTTTTACCAACTATATAAGACTTAATTCAATGACAGTGTAATAATTCACAGATCCACCATTATGTTCATCATTTACCATATTCTATGACATTCATTTGTTTCTTGGAATATTTCTGCAGAAAATATTTCTATATTTTGTTCCATCGTTTTTTTCATATCTTTAACAGTCGCATCTCAAAAAATTATACATATTTAAAAAAAAAAAAGGAAGAAGCTGTGGAGGCCATGATCGCCTATGAAAAGGGGAATTTGTGAGCTCAGTTTAAGTTCC